ACGCGAACCAGCATTTCATATAGATTTCTTTGATATTAATTCAAACCGAAGGTTTCCTTATTAATCCAAAAAATAAGGTGGCGACCGATAATAAAAGGTGCGTCGGGGGCAAAGCTGAGGCGCGGAACTCGAGACAGACAATTTTAACCAAAAATTTTTCAATTTGTCCATAAATATTAGCTTGGGACCATCGCGGTATTTTCGCGGACCCTTACAGGTGCACCATCCTGTTCATTGGAACCAACCACGTAGGAGTACCATCCCGGTACCAGACTCGCGTCCTAGAGGTCCCATCAAGGTGGACCATCAAGGTAATCAACCGATCCAAGGAGGACACCATAGGGGCTCCGAATAGGAGACCATACAGGTACCATACCGTTTAGGGTACCATCGAGGGATCATAAAGCAAGGCCATACAGGTACCAAACCATAGAGGCACCATACCCTGTAGGGTACCATCGAGGGTCCATACAGGGGGACCATACAGGTATCAAATAGGTACCATATAGGTAAGAGTCACCATATAGGTGAGGTCCAAATTTTATGGGTCACCCGCGCTCCGGTCACAACTTAACGGTTAAATTTTATTTTGGCTTGGCCGAATTTATTAGATTGTTTATTATAACACGCATATGGGTTAATATATTCATTATTTTATGTTCTACAAGTAACCACGTATGGTGAGGTGCATATTCGTAATTAACGAGTCTTTATTATTAATAATTTGTTAACTAACTTTAAATCGAATCACGAAACAACCAGCTCACCATCCGTGTTGAAAATCAAGTTTTGCGTATTTTAATTGAAATACTCGAGGTAACTAAGAACCTCTTGATAAGAAATATCGCGTGCGATAATTTATTTATTTACTATCGAATCGTTGGGTAGCGGCGCCGATAATTTTATAAAAATTTTATTTAGCACAGCGGGGGCCCCGATTAGGTACGAGCCTGACGCATGTATATAGACACGAAGTGCGGCGACCCGCTTTGTAGATAAGGGTCGCCTTTGTAGCGAAAACCGCCGTAGAAAAAAAAAAAAAAACGAGCAGTAGGGGAAGCCGTTGTGCTTCGAGCAGGCACAAGCCTGCTCAGTCGTTGCTAGGCACGTGAAGTGTGCACAGGAGTCGTTGCTGGACGCGCGAACGGTGCACACACGTGTTGCGGAATATCGTCCCGTAACAAAGGGAATTGCGTCATAGCGTAACGAGAGGTAATCGCGAAACCGGGCGTGGGTGAACACTCGCGGACAGTGCCCAGGATTATCCTGCCGTGCGAAAACCCGAGGGAGTAGGAGGAAAAGCCGCTGGTGACACAGAGCGAGAGAGCTGCTGCATCCCGGCGTTAATCCCCCTACGTGAACGTCTCAGACGTGTAAGTCGCATGCCTCCAGTATCGCGCTAGTATGTTCTGTGATCTCGATCCGTTACGATAACATAGTCAGTAAAAACGCGTAATTGCGAAATAACCACCTAAGGACCTATCGTGATGACCGGGATAATTGAGAACTGACGCATAGCAATCGACTCCGACGATCTGTAATTCGCATGTGCAAAGAGCGTCACCGCGTTTAGTTAGATCCATCGTCGTTAAATAATTAGGATCGAAATTATAGTATTAAATAAAACTTTAAGCTACTACCACACCATACCAACTGTGGTGAGATGCGTTCCTGTGCTGTGCTGCTGGATTATTTCGTTTAAAAATAAGTTCTATTATTAAGTACACTCTATTTACATAACCTTCTTTTATTGCAACAATATATATTTTAATTAACGCGGCTAAACAATTATTTCACATTTACCCGTCCAGTAGTTAGATCCGTGACGACGAAATGAAATATTTTCATTCGCTGACAGCTTACGTTACAGCCTTACAGCCTTACTCTTCCAGCTATTGTAGACGAGCCTTAAGACCGTTAAACAGTCCCTGAGGCTACACAGCTTGGGGACAATCACGAATAGGCGCAACGTACGTACCGAGACGGCGATGGCCGGATGGGAGGCCCCAGCCAATCAGAAGCCGGGAATTCGTCTCCCGCCGAAAAGCGGCTACATGCTGCGGCGACGCAAAATGGCCTCCAGTTAGACTCGGGCACTCAAGCCGCACGGACCGCGTCACTCTCCAGCAATATACTGCGTCATTGTCGCGGCGTTAGTAATGTTCGAACGCCTAATTAACGCGGACGCGAGGTCCTCTCATTAGCGAGTGTAGTCTGTATCGACACGCGAAAATTTGCGGCTTCTCGTGTAATTCTGATGACGTGTCTCGACGAAATCGCGAAAAAATATTTCGCGGTCGGGCACGAATTACAAGCTTACGTGTACGCGGACGCGAAAGGCCTATTATCCGAACGTCATTAATAGTTTAATTGTGCAGTGTTTAATAGTGCAATGACAGTGTCCGTGACAGTGAGCGATCCGAGGGATTACATTCACAATGAGGGATGAGGCGACGTTCCGAGACACAGGGATTATTTCGGTCGAGGATTATGATGCCGCGAGTAAAGGACACCAGTAAGAATACGACAATGTAAGTCGCATGCATTGAGTACCATGTATTTATTATTTTTATATGATAACTAATCTAAATACGTTAACATGAAATATTATTATCCAAATTTCTATTTTTATAGAAGAAGATAATAATTTAACCAAATAAAAATAAACCAAAATCAAATTATATCATTTTATTTGTATCTTCTCCAAAAATAATGGTATCACAAAATTTGCGTCAAGCATTACAAAATTTCAAGTTTGCTTACTCTCCTTACGGGATTCAAATTTAAATGTCCATTTGTAAAAGAATATTTTCGAGAGCACACAACTGTTGTCTCCGTTTCTTGTTGTCATCTTTTTTCGTCAGCTCTTTCAAGAGCTCCATGTCCTATCTAGACTTTCAATGTCAATGAAGAAAAAAACCGTAGCGAATATTCTCCATTCATTCCGATCAAACATTCTTTCTCTATCGCTGCTTACCAACCAGGAAAGCTAAATTTTTGTTCCAGACGTTGCGAGAAGCAAGTCTGGCGGACGCTGATGCCGCACCGGAGGATCTGGTTCGGGCAGAGCAGGGTCGGCTGGAAGGTAAAGTTTACAAGTTTTTTACACATCTTTGTCCAACCCTTTAACATCTTTGCTTTTGCAACTTGTTCCTCATCAGCTTTCTTGAAAGCTTCATGTCTCATTTGAATTTTCAATGTTGGAACTAAAATATTGAGATAAATATCCCATATCAAAATATTTCCGTATTTCCGATTTACCTCGATCATAGATATTCTCTCTCCACCACAGATTATCAACTGGGAAAACTACATTTCTGTTTTAGTTGTTGCGGAAAGTAACAACAATCCGGCAGATGCGGATGCCGTACCGGTGGATCCGGTTCGGGCCAAGCAGAGTAGATCGGAAGGTAAAGTTTACAAGTTTCCTATACATCTGTGTTCAACCCTTTACGATCTTTGCCTTTGCAACTTGTTCCTCATCAGCTCTCTTGAAAGTTTCATGTCTCATTTAAATCTTCAATATTGAAATATAAATATTGAGATAAAAATCCCACATCAAAATATTTCCGTATTTTCGATTCGCCCGATCCAAGATATTCTCTCTCTACCGCAGGTTATTAACCGGGAAATTATTTTTCTGTTTCAGTTGTGCGGAAAACAACAGCAATTCGGCGGACGCGGGTGCCGCACCGAAGGATTCGGTTCGGGCCAAGCAGAGTCGGCTTGAAGGTAAGTTTACAAATTTACTATAATCCTCTGTTTGACTCTTGGCGATCTAGAGCTGGGATATAATTTCCGACTCGACTTGAATTACGATCGCAAAGGGTAAACTACAATTTTACTCGCCCGCACTCGTTGGTCTGATCTCATAAACGAATGTGAATTTTTTGTTACAGAGTTGAAGCGGAACGTGGCCGGCTCTGACTGCAAGTCGTTTCGGTGAGTAAATGCAAAATAAAAAGAAAAACAAAATTCCGCATGACGGATATGGTGTGACCAGATGAAATATCGTTCAAGTCAATGCGAATTGCAAATAGATTCTTGCATGTGTGTGTTTGTGACGTTGAATTCAATACATTGCTCGAAACAATTAGGGAATTATTTGATCGCGATATCCTGCATTACATACGAGATTTAAAATAAAATGAATGATTCTCTATTGATATTCAGTCATCTGAATAAGAAATATTCTGTACAACCGCGATGTACAAACACGAAATCGTCATCAGCTGCTTTATTTTTATTTTTCAAGCGGGCCGCAGAATTATTTAACGATATAATTATTTGACAATATTCAATTGTCCGTGTAAAATATATTCATACGCATAAATGCCGATACCGTTGCTGCTTTTCTTTTATTTGCAAAACAGGCTGTAGAATTATATGGCAATATTGTCCATTCATCACGATCCCTATTGTCTCGAGTAGCGTATAATGCGCGCACAGATTGCGCAAGCGCACGCCGAGCTTGAGGTATTCTCGCTCGCGTGCCTTTGAATATCGCGACCGCGGTTATCAAAATACGCATTTTTACCCGTGCTCCAACAAAGAAGACTTAAATTCTCATTTCGCCAAAGTATCGCGAACGTAAGCTTCGTCGTGACGGAACTATCATGCGTGAAAACGTTGCCCCGCTTCTCTATTTTTGCGTTCCCTTGAAGCGACCGGTTTTTGATTGTCTAATCTTTCCTCACGTGCATTCGTGAATATTGCACTCGTAGATATCGATAATACCGCATTTTCGTGACTTTTCCGATGCAATCGCGAAAAGCGCCGTAAAAGTCCGTTGGACGAGTCCATAAATTTTCACACAGTTTTTGCTCCTTGCCGATCGAGTTTATAAAGTCCGTTTCGCAGCGCATAAAAAGTTTCCACCGATGTCGACATAAAACGTTCGTTATTTGACGCAAATATCGCCGCTCTAATACAAATATCGACCGCGTCATGAAAGTGTAGCAATCACCGTGGGACGCGCTGCAAGATGAATGTTGAGCGACATGGAGAGCGGTAGCGGACATGGAAGAACATTGGTAGACCTGGTTGGACATTGGCAGCGGGACATTACCAACATCATCATTGGTGAGCGTTTGACTCAATACTTACAGAGAGCTCTTTTATTATTATATTGTGCATGCCGCAAATTTGCATTGACATTTATAACGAAAAATATATTCCATGAATTATTGCCATATATTATAGCTATATATTATTGCCATATATTGTTGCGATATATTGTTGCCATATATTGTTGCCGTATATTACTGCTATATATTATTGCCACACATTGCCACGTATTATCCCCATATTATGGCCACCTGAAATCACGCGAGCAATCGAGAACACTGAATTTACCGGTAATCGCAAAAGCGCGCGGTAGACGTCACAGATTGATGCCAGCAGCCCGCATCAGAGCTGCCCGATAACAATACTCTTGCTACAATTTAACTTTAAACTAAAGCGGTCTCCGATCGCAGGAAACTTTCTATCGCGGACTAACCCTTCGAGCAGAATATTCCCGAGAAGCGCTCTTCAGATAAACGCTAGTTATAAGCGAACATGCCCCGTTAGGGCCCCGACGCGGTCTTGTTGTCGCAGAAAATTAGGAAGAAAGGAGCTAAACATCCGACACCGTTGTGAAAAGAAGGACGATGACGTCCCTTCGCGAGTAAAATATTAGGCCCTTGCGAACGCAAACGTCAAATTCCACTACGGCTGAGAACGTCCTCCGACCAGTTTCTTCGCGGAAACGGCTCAAAACCTAGGAACGCGCTTTCGCCACAATATAGTCCTTTATTAACCCTATTCACACCATAAACATCGACTTCCAACTCCATGTAGAAGCGAAGATATCAACATTAAAATTAAAGAATTAAATTAAAATTTATTTAAATTTAAACATGTAATCTTCGGTATCTCATAAACGACACAAAAAACAGGTACACGCTTTTGCCCTAAACCTCGACACTCAATTCACAATAGAAGCGGAGATATCAACGGTACAAGTTGAAAAATTTTAATCTCCGATATCTCCTAAACGGTTAGAGATACAGGCCTATTTCTGGCACCAAATTAAGGTCCAATCAAAAACCTACATTTTGCCGTAAGTGACGACACTCTGCTCCCACTAGAAGCGGAGATATCAACGGAGAAAGGTTGAAAAACTTTAACCTTCGATATCTCCTAAACGGTTAGAGATACAGGCCTGGTTCTGGCACCAAATTAAAGTCCTCTCAAAACCCTACATTTTGCCATAAGTGACGACTCTCTACTCCCAGTAGAAGCGGAGATATCGACGGAGAAAGCTTGGAAAACTTTAACCTTCGATATCTCCTAAACGGTTAGAGATACAGGCCTGGTTCAAACACCAAATTAAAGTACTCTCAAAACCCTACATTTTGCCGTAAGTGACGACTCTCTACTCCCAGTAGAAGCGGAGATATCGACGGAGAAAACTTGGAAAACTTTAACCTTCGATATCTCCAAAACGGTTAGAGATACAGGCCTGGTTCTGGCACCAAATTAAAGTCCTCTCAAAACCCTACATTTTGCCGTAAGTGACGACTCTCTACTCCCAGTAGAAGCGGAGATATCAACGGAGAAAGCTTGGAAAACTTTAACCTTCGATATCTCCTAAACGGTTAGAGATACAGGCCTGGTTCTGGCACCAAATTAAAGTCCTCTCAAAACCCTACATTTTGCCGTAAGTGACGACTCTCTACTCCCAGTAGAAGCGGAGATATCAACGGAGAAAGCTTGGAAAACTTTAACCTTCGATATCTCCTAAACGGTTAGAGATACAGGCCTGGTTCTGGCACCAAATTAAAGTCCTCTCAAAACCCTACATTTTGCCGTAAGTGACGACTCTCTACTCCCAGTAGAAGCGGAGATATCAACGGAGAAAGCTTGGAAAACTTTAACCTTCGATATCTCCTAAACGGTTAGAGATACAGGCCTGGTTCTGGCACCAAATTAAAGTCCTCTCAAAACCCTACATTTTGCCGTAAGTGACGACTCTCTACTCCCAGTAGAAGCGGAGATATCAACGGAGAAAGCTTGGAAAACTTTAACCTTCGATATCTCCTAAACGGTTAGAGATACAGGCCTGGTTCTGGCACCAAATTAAAGTCCTCTCAAAACCCTACATTTTGCCGTAAGTGACGACTCTCTACTCCCAGTAGAAGCGGAGATATCGACGGAGAAAGCTTGGAAAACTTTAACCTTCGATATCTCCTAAACGGTTAGAGATACAGGCCTGGTTCTGGCACCAAATTAAAGTCCTCTCAAAACCCTACATTTTGTCGTAAGTGACGACTCTCTACTCCCAGTAGAAGCGGAGATATCGACGGAGAAAACTTGGAAAACTTTAACCTTCGATATCTCCTAAACGGTTAGAGATACAGGCCTGGTTCTGGCACCAAATTAAAGTCCTCTCAAAACCCTACATTTTGCCGTAAGTGACGACTCTCTACTCCCAGTAGAAGCGGAGATATCAACGGAGAAAGCTTGGAAAACTTTAACCTTCGATATCTCCTAAACGGTTAGAGATACAGGCCTGGTTCTGGCACCAAATTAAAGTCCTCTCAAAACCCTACATTTTGCCGTAAGTGACGACTCTCTACTCCCAGTAGAAGCGGAGATATCGACGGAGAAAGCTTGGAAAACTTTAACCTTCGATATCTCCTAAACGGTTAGAGATACAGGCCTGGTTCTGGCACCAAATTAAAGTCCTCTCAAAACCCTACATTTTGCCGTAAGTGACGACTCTCTACTCCCAGTAGAAGCGGAGATATCAACGGAGAAAGCTTGGAAAACTTTAACCTTCGATATCTCCTAAACGGTTAGAGATACAGGCCTGGTTCTGGCACCAAATTAAAGTCCTCTCAAAACCCTACATTTTGCCGTAAGTGACGACTCTCTACTCCCAGTAGAAGCGGAGATATCAACGGAGAAAACTTGGAAAACTTTAACCTTCGATATCTCCTAAACGGTTAAAGATACAGGCCTGGTTCTGGCACCAAATTAAAGTCCTCTCAAAACCCTACATTTTGCCATAAGTGACGACTCTCTACTCCCAGTAGAAGCGGAGATATCGACGGAGAAAGCTTGGAAAACTTTAACCTTCGATATCTCCTAAACGGTTAGAGATACAGGCCTGGTTCTGGCACCAAATTAAAGTCCTCTCAAAACCCTACATTTTGCCGTAAGTGACGACTCTCTACTCCCAGTAGAAGCGGAGATATCGACGGAGAAAACTTGGAAAACTTTAACCTTCGATATCTCCTAAACGGTTAGAGATACAGGCCTGGTTCTGGCACCAAATTAAAGTCCTCTCAAAACCCTACATTTTGCCGTAAGTGACGACTCTCTACTCCCAGTAGAAGCGGAGATATCAACCGAGAAAGCTTGAAAAACTTTAACCTTCGATATCTCCTAAACGGTTAGAGATACAGGCCTGGTTCTGGCACCAAATTAAAGTCCTCTCAAAACCCTACATTTTGCCATAAGTGACGACTCTCTACTCCCAGTAGAAGCGGAGATATCGACGGAGAAAGCTTGGAAAACTTTAACCTTCGATATCTCCTAAACGGTTAGAGATACAGGCCTGGTTCTGGCACCAAATTAAAGTCCTCTCAAAACCCTAAATTTTGCCGTAAGTAACGACTCTCTACTCCCAGTAGAAGCGGAGATATCAACGGAGAAAGCTTGGAAAACTTTAACCTTCGATATCTCCTAAACGGTTAGAGATACAGGCCTGGTTCTGGCACCAAATTAAAGTCCTCTCAAAACCCTACATTTTGCCGTAAGTGACGACTCTCTACTCCCAGTAGAAGCGGAGATATCGACGGAGAAAACTTGGAAAACTTTAACCTTCGATATCTCCTAAACGGTTAGAGATACAGGCCTGGTTCTGGCACCAAATTAAAGTCCTCTCAAAACCCTACATTTTGCCGTAAGTGACGACTCTCTACTCCCAGTAGAAGCGGAGATATCAACCGAGAAAGCTTGGAAAAACTTTAACCTTCGATATCTCCTAAACGGTTAGAGATACAGGCCTGGTTCTGGCACCAAATTAAAGTCCTCTCAAAACCCTACATTTTGCCATAAGTGACGACTCTCTACTCCCAGTAGAAGCGGAGATATCGACGGAGAAAGCTTGGAAAACTTTAACCTTCGATATCTCCTAAACGGTTAGAGATACAGGCCTGGTTCTGGCACCAAATTAAAGTCCTCTCAAAACCCTAAATTTTGCCGTAAGTAACGACTCTCTACTCCCAGTAGAAGCGGAGATATCAACGGAGAAAGCTTGGAAAACTTTAACCTTCGATATCTCCTAAACGGTTAGAGATACAGGCCTGGTTCTGGCACCAAATTAAAGTCCTCTCAAAACCCTACATTTTGCCGTAAGTGACGACTCTCTACTCCCAGTAGAAGCGGAGATATCAACGGAGAAAGCTTGGAAAACTTTAACCTTCGATATCTCCTAAACGGTTAGAGATACAGGCCTGGTTCTGGCACCAAATTAAAGTCCTCTCAAAACCCTACATTTTGCCGTAAGTGACGACTCTCTACTCGCAGTAGAAGCGGAGATATCGACGGAGAAAGCTTGGAAAACTTTAACCTTCGATATCTCCTAAACGGTTAGAGATACAGGCCTGGTTCTGGCACCAAATTAAAGTCCTCTCAAAACCCTACATTTTGCCGTAAGTGACGACTCTCTACTCCCAGTAGAAGCGGAGATATCAACGGAGAAAGCTTGGAAAACTTTAACCTTCGATATCTCCTAAACGGTTAGAGATACAGGCCTGGTTCTGGCAGCAAATTAAAGTCCTCTCAAAACCCTACATTTTGCCATAAGTGACGACTCTCTACTCCCAGTAGAAGCGGAGATATCAACGGAGAAAGCTTGGAAAACTTTAACCTTCGATATCTCCTAAACGGTTAGAGATACAGGCCTGGTTCTGGCACCAAATTAAAGTCCTCTCAAAACCCTACATTTTGCCGTAAGTGACGACTCTCTACTCGCAGTAGAAGCGGAGATATCGACGGAGAAAGCTTGGAAAACTTTAACCTTCGATATCTCCTAAACGGTTAGAGATACAGGCCTGGTTCTGGCACCAAATTAAAGTCCTCTCAAAACCCTACATTTTGCCGTAAGTGACGACTCTCTACTCCCAGTAGAAGCGGAGATATCAACGGAGAAAGCTTGGAAAACTTTAACCTTCGATATCTCCTAAACGGTTAGAGATACAGGCCTGGTTCTGGCACCAAATTAAAGTCCTCTCAAAACCCTACATTTTGCCGTAAATGGCGTCTCTCTACTCCCAGTAGAAGCGGAGATATCAACGGAGAAAGGTTGGAAAACTTTAACCTTCGATATCTCCTAAACTGTTAGAGATACAGGCCTGTTTCTGGCACCAAAATATAGTCCTCTAAAAATCCTAAATTTCACCATTAATTACTAAGCTCAACTCCTAGTAGAAGCGGAGATATCAACGGACAAACGTTGGAAAACTTTAACCTTTGATATCTCCTAAACGGCTAGAGATGCAGGCCTGTTTTTTGCACCAAAATATGGTGCTGTAAAAACCCTACAACGTATCATAAATTTCTACTCTCAACTCCCAATAGAAGCGGAGATATCGACGGTACAAGTTGGAAAACTTTAACCTTTGATATCTCCTAAACGGCTATAGATACAGACCTGTTTTTTGCACCAAAATATAGTGCTGTAAAAACCCTACAACCCACGAAATATTTCTACTCTCAATTCCTAGTAGAAGCGGAGGTATTAACGGTATAATTTGGTGAACTTTACCCTTCGATGTCTCCTAAACGGCTCAAGATACAGGCCTGTTTTTTCGCCACAATATAGTACTCTATCAACTCTATTCTCACCATAAAACTCGACTCTCAATTCCCAGTAGGAGCAGAGATATTAACGGTGCAAATTGAAAAACTTTAGCCTTCGATATCTCCTAAACGGTTCAAGGTGCAGTAACGCGCTTTTGCCGTATTATAGTCTTGTATCAACCCCAATTACTGTTGAATGTAGTTTAATGCTAATTACAAATTTAATTTATTAATGAAACCAAATGTATAAAATTGATTAATTAATGAAGGATATGTTTTTATATGGGTTCATTAGCACCATTCATGTATATAAGTTAATTAAATAATAAGTATTATTGTGTTCGTTTATCAAACGTACACGTTATCCGTGCACATTTTTAGTTTACTATTAAAATGCAATCCGAATGTTACGCAATAATAATTGTCACCTGAATATCGCGTCAGTTTGGTGTGAATTTACGCGAACGAAGAAATGTGTCAAAAAAAATATGGTTTATGAGTCCGTAAAATAAAATATTGTAGATAAAATTAACGCAAAAGTATATCGTCATTGATATAGATTTACCATGAATCATTTTCGTTTTCAATCCGTATAATAAGATTGAGATTTAGTATACGCAAAAATAAGTCATGTATAATAAAAGGTATAAGAGATTTCGCCGTGAGCACGTTACACCAAAAATCGATAACAAAGCTCCGCATTTCAAAGCATCTATTTACTGGAGACCATTTAATATGCAACAAGACATGATACGAATTGAGGAAGTAGACAAGGAAAACTTAAATCTATTGAGGAAAATGAACGTAATACATCGATTGGGGGTTAGTATTGTTCCCTGTCAATGTTCTTCTAATATCAATGTAATTTTTCGCATGTGCGGCGTGCGTTATTATATCAAGTGAAGTTAAGGTTTGTATATACTTGAGGATAGGATCATCTAGCGATCCTTCGGACGGTATCTTCAGATAACTTTAAATAATATCAACTTGCGTGTGTAAGAAATATATGAGGCTGCAACATTAAGCATTTATTTTATCCTTAGGGAAATGTAATTTGTTGGAGGCCGGATATCAAGTACAAATCGAGACTTAAAGGGCAGGATCGAGAAAACGAACGAATCGTGAAAGAGAATCGGGAAATACTGAAGAAAATCAATAAAGCGACGAGTGAATACCTTACACGCGAGTTACTAAAGAACTGGAAAAATCGACGATTGATAAAACATAGCTTGAGGTTAATTATTTCAATCGCACACGCGAATATTTATACATAATGTTTATACATATAAAAAAATAATTCGGGTGAAAGGATTTCGTGCAGAAAGTTTATCTTCTTTCTAAAACTTACAATATATCACGCAGATTTTCTTCAACGATTAAGCAACATTCCATTGAGTTAGGTGTCGAGAAACAATTACTCTCTCCAAATCGAACAAGATGCTACTTTGACGTTGGGCTCCAGGAGGAAAACCACAATTTCGGGAGGATAATATTCGAACTGTTCAACGACATTGTACCGCGCACATGCGAGAACTTCGCAACTTTCTGTCATGGCGACAACGGATTATCGTATAAGTATGCATTTATTATTAAACGTAAACGTTAAAACCGAATATCTTTTCCAATGTCGAAGAGCCTTGACGGATTGGAAAAGACACTCCCCCCTCTCTTTCTCTCTTTCTCTCACTCTTAAAAATGGCCGTTGAAATTCAACGTTGAAAAAAGGTCGATCAATCTTCCGCGGATTCGCTCAGAAATTACAGAAATTAAAGTTGCAACTTGCGAAACGAAACTCGTAGAAAATTTACAATTCATAGGCGCACTCCGTTTCATCGTATCGTCATTGGGTACTGGTGCCAAGGAGGAGATGTCACAAAGTTCAATGGCACCGGCGGCATCTCCATATACGGCACTTCATTTAACAGTGAGAACTTTGAGCTGTGCCACGCCGGACCCGGCATCCTGTCAATGTGCACCGATGACGCCGGCAGAAACGATTCCAAATTCAATCTTACATTTAAGCATTTGAAGACGGTGGATGGGCATAATGTCGTTTTCGGCCGAGTGGTTGCCGGAATGACGAACGTTTATAAGGTGACAATTCAGCGTCGAAGAGCCACACGCCTGTCGCGTGGCTTTTCGCCGCTCGTACGATAATGCAACATTACCAACTGCTAATACACGGAAATCTGAACGTAACGTGAAAAAATTAATCTGAGGCACGCCGAATCTGAATGACTCCGAGGGCAAATTCGGAAACGCACGAATGTCCACTTGAATAATTTGCGTGGAATAATCTCGAAACTAATAACCGACCGTCCCAACTTTGTCGATCAGATCTGATCGATCGAATTGGAACGGATGCGCGACCGTATGAGCCATCTAACGGGTAACTTGTAAAGTACGTCGAACTTGGAAAGATAAGTCGTATTTCGAAATTTCCTTGAGGGAACCAAATCGTGTACTTAACTACAGTTGTATTGATCATACAACTCTTGCAGCATTGTTATTGATAAGGTCTATCACATTGCAAATCCGAGTGTTTTTCTGACACGCATAAGGGTGTGTGATTGACTGAAGCTTTCTTCACACGTCACCTTCACATCTTGAATCATGTCAAGTAACACGTTTAAACGTATCAAATGATATCTAAATGCATGACGTGATGACGTGATTTATGACAATAAGAAACGTGAAAAGGAAAGCTTCAGCCAATTATACACTCATGCGCGTCAAAATAACACACTCGGATTTATAATGCAATCGCGCGACTAGTCAAGTTTTGCCGAGCAAACTCGTCGCGTGTGGATTCGAGTCGAGGACAAATTTTAATTCATTTTCGTGTCGAAAATGTCCGGAAACCTTCCGAAGGTAGAAGAGTAAAAGAGCACACACATTTCGAATGTATATATGATATTAATTAGGCTCGTTATTTTTCATTCGCGCACGATACGAAATATAATTCGATGTATACCGAGCTATCGAAATCGGGAAAAATCGTCTCGGAGATACTTCGAACGAGACATACATCTGGATCTCGCCTGCGTTCTCCGGATAATAAAAAAAGAAAAGACGAAGCTTTCGGTGCCGTTAAACGTCAAGCATCGCGTTTCACGAGAAATTTAATTACTCACCCACCGCATATTCAAATTTGACCACACAGCTGCAACAAACTGTTTATATCTGCCACGATTAAATAGATCGAGGAATTCGGCACGAAAGCCGGAAAACCAATAAAATCAGTGATCGTGTTAAATTGCGGAGTCCTGTCGGCGAGGCGTACACACTAACAGCCATCCAAACCTCAAATATGAACAAGCTGCATTATCATCCCGAGTGAAAATACAATTTATCGCGGCGAGTTGACTATGTAACGTTTAATTAAAAGTCGAAAATCAGCGGAAAATCAAGTGAATTCAGAAATCAACATTAAGCAGTACTAGAAAATGGGAGGCCAAATAAAGAGTACGTGCTGAACTATTTCAAAATTGTCAATTGTCTTTCTAATTGTAACGCAACTAAATTGCTAATTGGGACATTGTCACGATTAATGTCGTGTCAAACATATTTTACGTCAACTTACGGCAAACACGATAAATTTCTACATTATTATTAAGAACGCTCGTGTTCCATGAAATAGAAGTACTTATAATACGAACGATTCATATTCACCGACGATACGAAGTGAAGTATAGCGATTCTGTAATTGAATATTGAGTCCTTTCCGTTATACATCTATATTACATATATTTTTAATACATGTAGTTATTTTACATTTGTGTGTTGTTAACTTTACATTTTTTTTCTACATTTTAATATTTTTTATCCTTTCATATTTTTATATTTCTCATCTTGTTACATTTTTATGTTTTTTATTTTTTATATTTTATTTCTTTATATTTTAATACTTTTTTAAACAATACTTTTTCATATATCTTTATATATTCATACGACATCAGAAGTCATCAGAATAATTAGAATCTATATCCTGCTTATCCATAGTTTCAAAGTTTTCTTCCCTTCCACTTAACAAGCAAATCTCACGCTTTTCTTCCTTTTTCTCCCTTGGCTCCTTTACGCGTTACACGTATCTTCGAAAATATATATTTTGCAAGAGCGCACCTAAACGCACTTAAGCTTAATATTACCAGATTATACCACGTATAATCTCAAGTATACACTTCTGTAAAATTGTGGAATTTTTGACGACTGAATGAGCTCTAGCAGGCTTTCTTTTAAACCTTCCATATATGATATATCATATTTTAGTATTTAATTTTCAATATTAGATTAATAATATGTAAAGAGGTAGCATATTACGGACATTTACGGTATATTCTATGCAGGGAAAATTATTTGATACGATATTACAAAACTGGTAATAATCTATATTGGAAGCATAATTGTGTGAATGCGTGTGTGTACATGTGACTTGTGAAATTATTTCGGATGATATCCATCTTTCTAGCATTACCAAAATATTTGAGCGCGATTGGCGCTTCGAATGGATTGTATCGATTCTTTTGTTTTAGCTACTGTATGTAAGTTGTGATACAGGAAAAAAAAGCATAAGTATATATTTTATTGAATTTTACCTTTGACGATAATGCCTTGAAATTTTAAGTTTTTCTTTCATTTTTATTAGCTACAGCTTCCATGATTTATCTTATTCGCCTCACGGTCGCCGCCGTCGTCGTCATCGTCGTCGTAGTGGCAGCGATGCGTTCCTTTCCGCGAATTTTGTAACTTTTTAATCAATCTTTCTCGCATTGAAAGTGCTCCTCACGTGGGTATTGAAATATAACCAGTTCACTGCGCGCAGGAATATCCTACGCGCAACAGAAATAAATAACATCACCGTATAACAAACGCGCCCTCTCAACCCGATATAATGACGAATGCAAATAAAAGAGAATAAACAAATAGGAGTGCACAAATAGAGATAGAAATTTAGTCGATATCGCGTGAGCGTGTAGATTGCGCCGACATTTTTTTAAAACGTATGTCATGCAATCCCGAAAAATGTTGCTCGCGTGCGCGTGACGATTAATTCACGGCCGGATAAACTGATGTCGCGGTCTCGTCTTTGTTTTCCGCAACTTCTCTACATTTCACATCTTCGTAATTGCAAGATTTTTCATGCAATATTTCTCACGTCCAAATTAAACCGTGGCGCAATCGTTGCCACGATTACAAAGCACACAATTGACTTTCCCGGCGACAAATAACATTTGTGTGCATTCGTTGTCGCAGCAATTATTGTTACGATATCGAAATAACGGTTAATACTTATCGTTATGTCAATGTGCTACATTATCATAATTATATAGAAATTATTATGTTCGTGATCAGTGCTACAAAAATTATAACTGCGACCGTTGCGACGTTGGAGCAACTACTGGCTGTCATAATAATTAATACTGCAAATCTCTGATTCCCCACACACGCACACGCATGTACATGTATACATACATATATACATACATATATATATTAGGAGTACAAATAAGTTTCCGCCGTTTGACGAAAGATGGCCCCACCAGAAGGTTATGTTGAAATTGTCAGATGTAAAACGTAATATCGTAAGTTTGGACATCTGGTAACAATATAACCTTGAAGTATCAGTGACTTCATATCAGCATCACATAATTTTTTTCGTGCGAAAATGTCAAGTTTTGTGCCGAATAAGCGTCATTTGCGGGAACTTTTGATTTACTTCGTTAATTTGAAGAAATCTGCAGCTGAGGCGCATCGATTGCTTGTAGAAGCATATGGTGAGACTGCTTTAAATTCACCAAGTTGTCGTGAGTGGTTTCAAAAGTTTAAAAACGGTGAGTTTGACGTGAAAGACAAAGAACGTAGTGGAAGGCCGAAAGTATACGAAAACACGGAATTGGAAGCATTATTGGAGGAAGATTCGTGCCAAACGCAAGAAGAACTTACATTAGAAGTGACTCAACAAGCAATTTCACATCGTTTAAAATCGTTGGGAATGATTCAAAAACAAGGAAATTGGGTTCCATATGAACTGAAGCCGAGAGACGTTGAACGCCGATTTTGCACGTGTGAAATGCTACTTGCCAGGCATAAAAGAAAGGGTTTCTTGCATCGTATAGTCACTGGTGATGAAAAATGGATCCACTACGATAACCCAAAGAAGAGAAAATCATGGGGACCACCTGGCCATGCTTCAACATCGACAGCCAAACCGAATATTCATGGAAAAAAACTCATGCTGTGTATCTGGTGGGATCAGCTTGGTGTCGTGTATTATGAGTTGCTCAAACCGAGCGAAACCATTTACTGAAGCTCTCTACCGAACACAATTAATGAAATCGAGCACTCAAGGAAAAACGCGCCCATTACTACTCCAGACACGACAAAATTATTCTCCTACGTGACAACGCTCGGCCAAAGACCGGTTGCAAAACCGGTCAAAACCTATTTGGAAACACTTAATTGGGAAGACCTACCCCACCCGCCGTATTCACCAGACATCGCCCCTTCCGATTATCACTTGTTCCGGTCGATGGCACATGACCTGTCTAAGCAGCGTTTTACATCATATGAAGATACTAAAAATTGGGTCGATTCGTGGATAGCCTCAAAAGATGAAGAGTTCTTCCGACGTGGTATCCGAATGCTGCCAGAAAGATGGGAAAAAGTAGTGGCTAGTGATGGACAATACTTTAAATGTACTTTAAACGTAATGTACCGTTCTTTCACAATAAATTCCTAATTTTTGATAGAAAACGGCGAAAACTTATTTGTACTCCTAATATATGTGTGTGTGTGTGTTCACAACACACTTATTATCACATCAAAACAATTATCGATGCAAACGTCATTCTAACATAAAAATCTCTTTAACATTTGCCACAACTAAATACGTTGCATTAATAGCGCGACGTTATCAGACGACGTTAATTGCAATTATCCTAGGGTCGTAACCGTTGTCTGAATACAATTTAGAACATGTTACGTTCCCTGCGTCGCTACGCACAAAATGGTCGCAAAATCGCGAAAACGAAACATCTGACGGGTTGCTGAGATGCGTGAAATCGCGAAACCTTTTTCATAAATTCATAAAGAGCATCGAGTTGTATCGTTGTTGAAGACAAAGACGGGAATAGAAAGAAAAATGACAAAGCTTCGTCGTTATGCCGTGGTAGTACTAAGCGACGCGCTTCGTCCGTGAACCGATATAATCCTTCGCACGTTTCTATCATCGATATGATGACGGTTGCGAACGATGCGGCTCACCAAAGCACGAACGGTAATTTTCCGTCCGCTAATTAGAAACAATCGTTTCGTTCGTCTCTCGCATCAAGTTAAGAGACCGTACGGCACTATTATCACGTATTATCACGTGACAAAAGCGGTCGAGCATAATTGTGTTACCATCATGCGTTTTTCGTGCAGCAAATTGCACTCTTCGCCGGCACTGTTCTTCTCCTTCATTCTTTTCTTTCTCGCTCACGTTAGAAACAACGGAAAAGCATGGAAGCAAACATGAGTGCTTCGCCCCCCATGTTCTCTGTGCGTTCCACCCTCTACCTTTGTCTCTCCCTTCCCCCCCCTCTCTCTCTCTCTCTCTCTCTCTCCCTCTCTCTCTCTCTCTCTCTCTCTCTCTCTCTTTCTCTCTTTCTTTCTCTGTTCCTCTCTCTCTCTCTCTCGATCGAAGCCGTTGACTCTCCCCCTATCTCCCACCTATCTCCGACAACTTAATACTCCTAATTCTCAACGAGCGGCGAGTACCGTTATTGGAGGTTCAACCCATCCGCAATTGCGCGCCTCTTAAAGGCACGGCTACACGAATAAATGAGAAAATGTTTTTTTACGAGCCACCGCGATAACGATACTTTTTCATTAACTCTGATACGACGTACGACCTCCGCATATTTAGATGCAAAGAACTCTATTACCTGGAAGAAGTATTTTAATACAGCATTTGACAGCGTGAACTTGGAGACGACGACGACGACGACGACGACGACGACGATGACGGTTGTCTGCAGAGAGTTCGGAACACGAAACTCTGCTTAGAACGCCTTTCAAGGACGTGCGAAAGGGTGTTTAACCCTTCCGTAATCGAACGTCTCTCGCAGATTTACCGCAGATGAGCGATCCTCTTGGAGAATTGGAATGCGAATGTCAAATTAATAAACGAACGTGTAAAGGGAAACTGCGGATGAAACGCTGAGAGAAACGATAAGTCATAATTTATTAAACGTTAGTCGCCTTTCATTTATAATTCAACGGCAAGGCCGTAAGACACAGAACTGAAGAA